CTGGCATTTTCTGCAAGGGGGCTTGAGCTTAATGAGGTTGAGAATCACTGGCTTAGGGGTTCAGCTGTTGGAAAGGGAAATCCATTTTCATGCAGTTTGTGTTTTAATGAGCATTATGCTCCGGAGAGTCACCCATGCAAACTGTGTAGCAGGTAGCAGAGCTGGACAAAACACAGGGGCTTAAAATAGCCTCCCGTGAAATGTTCCATGTGTATGTCATGGGCTTCATCACGCAGCAACCTGGGTGTGTTGTCCCTGTGATGCCTTGAGTTCATGCCGTGGCTGGCCTCTGAATTTTCCACTGAACTCTTTTAACCTGGGCCTTCCCAGACTTTGTTACTGTTCTCCTGAGCCTGGGACCGATTTCAGCAAAGAATCACAAAGGTATTTCTTAATTGAATTAGAGAAGATCTGCATAGAAAGTAATGATACTGTGCATGTACATATATACACATAGCATATTTCCATATAAATACACATGCAGATGTTACCATGATTTTAAGATGCATAATTACCCCAGCTCTGTTTTGACTTTGCTTTCCAAGTGCCTTGATCTCACTAAATGTCTGCACAGTGGATTATTTTTTTCTCCTAACGTCTTATGTTCTTGCGCAGGTCATCTTTCTTTTACTTATTTTTTTCTTGTTCATGTATCTGGTTTTTCTAAGTCCTTAAATCCTAGGCTTTTTACTGTGTCTCCCCCCGACCCCCAACTTCTTAATCTAGTTCACTGGGAATTGAACTTGCTATTTGCTGCCTTTTTCATATCAACTGGAATGTTTAAATCAACAACCACCATTTATGCATGATGCTTGTAATGGAATAAGTTTTGCCTGCTGTCACAGCATGTACTACTTAAAATGACTGACCAAAAGAGGTTGGGGAGGAGAAACTTGTTTGAAAGCAGTTTATGTAGTTGGTTTCCCCATGGTCAGATACGTTATTTTTTTCCCCTGCAGAATAACAGATGAGAGCACCCGCAAACATTCCCAAGGGAATTTGGGGGCAGGGTGAACTTACAGATCTGTGCCCCTAACAGGTTTTGAAATTGATAAGTTATTTCAGGGGACAGCCCCTTCAATGCAGTGGTAGGATTCACTTTCATTTTGTGCCAAAACCATTTTGTCAGGCTGATTGGAGATGGGAAAGCCTTTTTACAAGCTCATATCTTGTCCCTTCCCTGACATGCAGAATTGTTCCATGCAGTGTGTAAATTCAACTGCTTTGACGCATTCAATTGGCAAGGTGCATGAGCTATCATATTCAACTGGTGTCCTTCATATAATTTTATGTAACTTGTTTGGTTTTTTGTAAAAGTGGATTTTCTGACATTCAGGAAGTCACCTGATTTATTTTTTGTAATATACTAGAGTCCTGGGCAAAACCTCCTGAATGTTACAATATCCTCCTTTTCAGAAAAGCCTGAATGTTACAATATCCTGCTTTTCAGTACTTCCAATTTGGTTTCTCAAGTGATTGCTTTATGTTGAAAAAAAATCAGTCTCTCTCTGGTCCCAGTAGAGAATGCAGTCTTTTTGTAATAAAGACATTTTTCTTGTGCCCTTGATCGTTCCTGCGTAATTGGTAAATATTTTTAACTGCCTGCCATAGTGTATACTGTGTCAGCCAAAATGCTTTCTGCCTTTTGCTGTATCTGCTAAGTTGCTAACCTGCTCCATTAACGCGCAACACCTGAGAAAGCAATGGTGTGGTGCACTGATAGCTAGGGACATTTAATCAGATGGAAAGATGTGATACTGAGTGCATTGTATAAAACACAGTGACCCTTTGTGAGGCTGCTAGATAGGCAGAGGCAGTGGAGTTGCATTAGGGATGAATTTGGCTTCTACTTTGGTTTTGTTTTCTCAGCTGTTTTAACTTATGGTTTTTCCTTTGACTTGTTGCAGCATGGGCTTCTTATATGACCAACTCCCCTACACTGATCGTTATGATTGGTCTCCCTGCACGGGGCAAGACTTATATGTCCAAGAAACTAACCCGCTACCTCAATTGGATTGGAGTGCCTACAAAAGGTATGTATGCAGAAACATATCACAATGGAGTTTCAGGCTGCTGGTGCATCGGTTTTAATCCAGCCCAGAAACATAAGGACTGAAAATTGAGTGTTGCATTTAGAGTACGGCTTTTTTTTTTTTTCTTTTCAACTTGTGGCACATATGCTTCCCTGCCATTTGTAGCCTTTTTGGCAGTGGCATCAAATCCCTCAAAGATTCAATGTTCTGTGGTGACTGAATTCATAGAGTCATAGAAAATGAGGCTGGAAGGGACCCCAGGAGGTCACATCTAGTCCAAACCCCTGCTCAAAGCAGGACCAAACCCAACTACATCATCCCAGCCAGGGCTTTGTCTCGCTGGGTCTTGAAAACCTCCAGAGATGGAGATTTCACCACTTCTCTGGGTAACCTGTTCCAGTGCTTTACTGCCTTCCTAGTAAGAAAGATTTTCCTAATACCCAACCTAAACCTCCCTTGCTGCAGCTTGAGACCATTGCTCCTTGTTCTGTCATCTGCCACCACTGAGATCATAGCATCTAAATAGAAAGTTAGGGTTGGAAGACACCTCAGGAGGTCATCCTGTCTGGAAACTCCATGTGTACTTCCACAAGGGTCTCTGTAGGCAAACTGTCAGGGTTAGTCTGTAAGGGAAGCTCACAGTGGTGCTCTTCAGTTTGCATCTATTCTGTGTTCAGAGGGTTCAAGTTGTCCATGCGTGGAAACCAGCTTATGGCTTCCATACCAGTTAAGATTTCAGAAGAGGCCTCGAGTGAGATTTACACCCTCGTGGTGCCCAGAGCACAGGGTGAATTTCAGCATACAGAGGACTTACGGCTCTAGGGCTTGGCATCTTTTATAAGAGTGGAATTCTTCTGCAGATCCCTGTGTAAGATCTTAAAAGGCCCCTTTTGCTTTACTTGGGTCTCTTCTCCCATGTAGCACTGCACGTGCGTACACTTAATAATGGGAACTGCGTGGGAATATGTTGCTAATCAAAAAAATAAAGTCCTAAATGTGTTTGTTTTTGTGAAGTGTTTAATTTAGGAGTGTACCGTCGTGAAGCAGTGAAGTCGTACAAGTCCTACGATTTTTTCAGGCATGATAACAAAGAAGCCATGGAGATTCGGAAGTAAGTCTGCACTGGGGGGGCGGTCCAGCTCACTATGAAAATCGGATACACAAGTTCCTCTCACTGTGAAGTTCATGTACCAATACCTCTGTTTTGGGGAGGTAACATCTAATTGGCAAATACAGGATGAGACTCTGCCACTACTATTTAGGTTGAGAGGAATCGACTGTGGGCTTCGCCTCCCTTATTTCAGTGGAGTTTGTTTGCACTCGGTATAAGGCATCAGTAGCACAGATAGGCTTGGAATGGAGTTCCAGTTTGTTCTACCTCAGTAAATGCCACATGAGCTGAAAGGCTTTAAATGCCGGTTTGGGAGCATCTGATGAAATCTCATTTTCGGGGGCCTAGTGCTCTACAGAAACAGTTTTCATTTGATTGACATTTTCCCATTTTAAATTCCCCCTGCTTGCTGATATCTAGTTGGCCCCGCAGTTATCTTTCTGAAGGACTAGGGCTACTAGAAGCTCCAAAAGCATCCTTCAGATGGATTTTTATGATAAGTAAGCAAGGCTACAAGCTGTGGTGTCTCTGACTGGAGTGGAAAGGCATCCTTTCTGTAAATGAACACTTAGAGTGAGATCCTGGCTCTGCTGATGTCCCTGGCTGAACTCTATTGCAGCCAGGATTTCATCTCGAGGTTACTGCAGTGACAATTTCAAGACCAGGGAGGTCCTAGAGGTGCCAAATGGCACCAAAATAATAAACCCACGAAACAGGCTGGGCTTGCTCCTGTTGAAATCAGTGGGAATTTTATCCTTTACTTCAGGGGAAGTAAAATGGGGCCCAGAGGACAGAATTCAAATGCTTCAAGGGGATTAATGAATGACTGTAGGGGAGGGCTGGAGTTAGCTTCTGCTCCCAGAATCTCTCTGCTCTGGCTGCCAGTGCACTTGGCCCCAAGGACCAGGACTCAGCAATGATCTATTTGTCTATATAAGGAGAGATCAACAAACTCCTGGGTTGGAAAGGCAGTGCCCTCACAGCTGGGGCGTGGAGGTGGAAAGGAGGGATTAAATGGTGTTCACTGAACCTCCAGGGCTCTGGGATAGATGCAGAGAATGCCCTTAACAAGAGAGAAACAAGATATCTAAACCCCATCGCTCCCTCGTGTAAACTCTGGGGTCATGATTTGCTGGGCTTGGGATCGGGATGCTTTACACCAGCTCTGATCATGCCAATTTTTCTCCTGACAGAAAATGTGCCTTGGTGGCCCTGGAAGATGTGAAAGCTTATCTCCTGGAGGAGTGCGGGCAGATTGCAGTAAGACGATGCTAGAATTAAACACAGTCCACATGAGATCAGTGTTTAAAGTAATGACTGAGTTTTTCAAAGCTGCCTAAGAGACTTGGTCAAGCATACAAACCCTTCTGGCAGCTTTGATACAACCTTGGATAATGACATTTATTGAGGTTACTTGTTGTTTGGTTTGTTTTTTCTGTCCTGTTAGGTCTTCGATGCAACCAACACAACTCGGGAAAGGAGGGACCTGATTTTAAATTTTGCTAAAGAAAATGCTTTTAAGGTGATTTTTATTTATTTAATGTGGAATAAGACTTCAGTAATGTAATTTACAGCCTGGGTATCTCCCATAGCCATAAGCCTCCCTGCCTTTGAAGGTGTGTTTTTGCTCTTAATTTTGCCCACAGGAATTTTCGTTTCAATTTATTATGCTTTAATGGCAATGTTGAGGGGTTTTTTTTCTGTGCAAAGGCTCCTTTACAATCTCATTCTGCAAAGGCAGGGTCTTAGAAGGCCAATATGTATAATTTTGGAGCTTTGTTTTTGTTGCCTCTGGAGATCTTGTGCTTTTTTTCCTGGTGGGATGTCCAGAACCAGACTTTCTGCCTCTTACTTTTTTTGTCCTTATTTCACTGTATGGTCATAGAAGCGCTAAGGTTCTGTTCTTGAGCTGCTTGCAGTTTCCTAATATGCAGTTTATAACTTGGATATGGACAAATCCCTGAAGGTAGAGGAATTCTGCATGTATCAATCAATCCGTTGCATCTTACCTTTTCCTTTTGGTGCTGGCTTGCCTGCCGCTTCCCCTGTGTTGGCCAGGGGAGCAATGATTTGCTAGGATCATGCACCTGATTTCTTTCTTTGCTTTTGAAGCCAGAAAGAAATGTCACTTCCTCCTTGAGCACACTTCCACTGCATTTGAGGCAGCAGTAGGAGCACCATTTAGGACAAATCATAACCTGACAGACCTGCTTGTCCATTACTGTGCTCATAAAACTTGCCCTATCTCTGCAAGATAGCATTCTGGGGGCTTGGTTCTCCTTGACATAGCTTGTGTTGTCATATCAACCTGGGCAAAGTGCTGTCCTTTTGTAAGTGTAAATGATAATGTGTAATGCGAGGTCAGGGAAAGTCGGGCCCCTCGCTTCTATGTATGCATCTGGCTTGGGAAGTTTTAGTGTGCTGATTGCAGTGATGGGGTCCAACAAAGCATACTGCCTTGATCAGTCCATATTCCTTAGATGCTCAGACATCTGGTGATGTGTAATGCACACTTCTAGACAGAGCGATAGCAGGAATCCAATGATTAAAACAAGGCGAAAGGTTGGTTTCACACAAGATAAAAATCAAATGTACAAAATATTAATGTTTTCTCACAGGATGCAAATTTGGGGTTTCAGCAGTTGCATTCACTAAGTGCTTAGTCCAGGAGCTATGCTATACAAATGACTTAAAGGCAGAGATTTGAACTTGAAAATAAAGAACAGTTAGCTTGCTACTATTCAGAAAATGCAACAAAAAACAATAATTTAAGAAAAACTGCTTCCAACAGTTCACCCTGATACACTCTTGCAGACACATTTAA